AAAACTCAAAATACTCAAAATCAGTTTTTTGGAATTATCTTCAAAATTTCAGCCAATCTGTCAATTCTGACTTCGAATTCGGATTCAGCGTGAAAAAATACATGAAAATGCACTATCGTAGTGACATTCAAAAATTTTTTAACTTTTTGATTTTATTTTTCTTTCTGAGCAGTTTTTTGAGATTATCTGAAAAATAAGAGCCAATCTGATAATTCTGACTTCGGATTCGGATTCAGCGTGAAAAAATACATGAAAATAGACTATTGTAGTGTCTCGGCCAAACAACTTTTTATTTTTTGTGTGCCTGTGAAATTGAAGTTTAAGTTTAAAAATATAGTGTTACAAGCGAAAAAAATTCAAAAATGAGTAAAACCAAAAGAAGTAAACAAACTCTCTTAAAACTCGCTACTCGAGGGTTTTCGGGGTCGCTCATTACGAATTCGATGTCAATTTTTGAAAATCCAAAATGGCGGATCCAAAATGGCCGACGATTTTTTTTTAAATACATTGAATTCCCTTAAATCTTGTTACTCGGGGGTTTTCGGGGTCACTAATTACGAATTCGATGATAGTTTTTCAAAATTCAAAATACCGGATGCAGACTGGCGAAAAAAGGTTTAAAAATTATTTTTTTAACGAGTTTTAAGAAAGTTTGTTTAGTTGTTTTGGTTTTACTCATTTTTGAATTTTTTTCGCTTTTAACACTATTTTTTAAACTTAAACCTCAATTTTTAATAAATCTGTACATTTTTTTGGAATTTTGACATTTACATTTTTTGTTCAGGAGGTGAAAAACTACAAAAGTTCAAAGTTGCAGAAAATTTCACCGGACCCCAAATTCTCATGTAAATGGTTCGGGGTTCTTTGAGATTGTAATTTTACGCTGTATTAACCGCAACTTCTTTGTATGAACAATTTGTTCTTGAACAAATAAACATATATATATATACATTTGATAATAATCAAATAATTGATTATTTGAATCAAAATAAATTTTGTCTCAGTGTATGTGAATGCAAAATTATGAAGCAAAATTATATTAATAATAATAATAATAATAATAATAATAATAATAATAATAATAATTAAAATAATAAAATATTTAAAAATCCACATTTTATTTTTATAATTCTTATTAAATGAGCTTTCGCCCGTCAACGTCAGGCCTCATCAGATTTAAATACTGAAATTATATTTACATTTTTTGAGTTTGTTATAAAAATAAAATTTAATTAAATTGATAAACATAACCTCAAACTCACCAATATGGATTTCCACTCTCATTTAATAATTTTAAATAAAAAAATAATAAAAATTATAATAGAAAAATTTTTATTATTTTTTGATTTAAAATTATTAAATGAGAGTGGAAATCCATATTGGTGAGTTTGAGTTTATGTTTATCAATTTAATTAAATTTTATTTTTATAACAAACTCAAAAAATGTAAATTTAATTTCAGTATTTAAATCTGATGAGGCCCGACGTTGACGGGCGAAAGCTTATTTAATAAGAATTTTAAAAATAAAATGTGAATTTTTACTAAAAACAAATAACATCTTGACTAAATAATAATAATAATTAAAAAAGCTTTAATTTAATTAAGCAATCAGCTAATTTTTATTTAGGAGCATTAATATTTTATAAAATATAACATCATTTTTTTACAGTTGTATAACTCGTTTGCAGAGTGCTTTAATCAGGGAAAATTGAAAATTTTTTTTACTCAATATATATATATATATATATTTTAATTTTCCTACATTACTAACCCTTTGGGGAAAGTTATTAAAACTTATTACGAAGCCCTATGGCTATGACATAGAAAAGTCTCGTGCATTAGTTTTAATTTTAACTTTAACACGCAAATTTCCCGCAACTTTGCATCGTAAACTTGCCACTAAATTACATTTTTCTATTTGACACAATTTTGAATGTTCTATGAAATTTTGAAAAATTTTTCATTACAAACTTTTCTCAAAAGCTAAATTATTTTTATGTTCTAAACAAGAATAATATGGTCGATGAATTTTTCAAAAAAATGTCGTAAAATAAAAATTCAAAGTTTTAAGAATTCTGTAAAATGTATAGAACAAATGAAAATTCATTTAAGTAAAAATTCTGTAATGTAGAAATTCGGTTAAGTGAAATTTCTGTTAAATAGTAATTAGAAGAAATTAAAATTCGTGTGTAAGTAAATTCAAGGTTATGAAATTTTGTTAATTGAAAATTCTAACAAATTAATTTTAGAGCTTTCTTGTTCAGGCAATTTTAATTTTTTTGGATATGTGCAATTAAAATAATATTTTTAGAATTGAGATAAATCGATATAAATGGAAGTAAAAAAAAAGCCAAGGTAGTTTTCAAAAATTAAAGAAATTGTAATATAATTGATCACGTATTATGACCAATTTCTTAAGAATTTATTTTTAATTTAGTTCTTAATTTTTTTTTAGCCAATTATATTGCTAATAAATAGAGATTTAAAACTATTTGCTTTTTAAACCAATAATACTGCAGTAAATATATATATTACCTACTTACACACATTTATATATATAATATTAAAAGACGATTACTTCCACTTTCATACATTGACTTTTTTTTATAATTGGGTTTCATAATTCCACTTCTTTTATAGATTATTGAGTCTTAAGGTGGATTTAAAGATTCAAGATGCTGACATGTATATATACATCCTTTGTTCCTTTTCATTCAATTTCTTCTGAACACGCTTAAATGACAATTGAATGTACTCTGGTTTCTTAAGAAACTGTTGTATACACGATCGTTTAAAATTTCATTTCGTGCAAATTTATTGCTTATATAATAAATATCTGTTGTTTTTATATCATTAAGTTTCATTAGCATTGAAATATGAATGTTTCTATTTTATTTCATTATTAGAAGGGTTTTGTTTAAAAAGAAAGAAAAATTATACATTTCGTAATTTGGTTTTTGAATTGAAAGAAATTTAATTTAGTAAGTGAATATTTCGTAAAATAATTTTATTAGTTCGTGGCATATGGTTTATACATTGTTTACATTATAGGCCATAAACTAATAAAATTAACATATAGACGTGTCACGAATTTTTAAAATGTCGTCAAACCAGAAGGACGGAATTTATGCAATTGATTGTACATAATGTACCTTATTCAAAGTTATTTGTTAACGTTTCATTTAATTTAATAATTTTATTAATAATTTAAGTTTATCAGATTGTTATATTTATTTACATATTTATAATCTAATATTTTTAATGTAAAGTGAAGTTTCTTTTGGAGTGCATTATCAAATTTAATATTAAATAAAAAATTTTTACTAATTAATAAAAACAAGAAAAAGAAATTGTGGAATGAAATATTGGTACAAAATGAGGTTATTTGTTTTTACATTCTAAATTGTTAGCATGAGAGTGTTAATTTACAATATTGAGTTATCCAATTTTCTCTATATAGTAGTTGATTATGATGTACTTTAAATGATCACTTCTGCTAATAGAGTTTCTGTAATAAACGTAGTAAATGGCTATTCCTAGAAGCATATATTACAAACTACATGTTTAGCACAACCGCCCACTTGTTCAATTTATCAATGCTATTTATTTACACTGTTTATAAATAATAGAAAATATCTAACATTGGCATTTCTCATAAATTAGATTGGAAAATGCAACATTATAAAGAACGACAAAATTTTAGATTTCGTTTTTTTTTATATATATATATATATATATATATAAATCACAATGAATTATTTACAATGATACTGCTACTCATGTATATGGCTACAGTTCAAACAAATTCCAATTGAAGGGTTAGTGTCTGATAGTCAACTTTGGCACTGTTCCCTTGGACTTGGATGTTTGACAAAAATTCTGGTCCAGCAACATTTGCTAAATCTTTCGAATTTCTCTGAATATCATCCGAGAGAATTCTATTCTCATGTTTTTCAATTGATTCGCTTAACAATATACTGTTTATTTCTGTTGTTTTTGAGTGTACATAAATATGCTAATCATTTTTTTTTCCTATTTTACTGTTAAATAATTTCCATTACTAAAATGGCAAACAATTTTAGGATTTTGGAACAAGAAAAAAATATACGTACGACATTTTTTAACATTTTGAAACCGATTTCCTCATCAGAATTCTTATTAATCTATAATAATAAACAGTTTAATTTTTTGTCTTTTACATTTTTGAAAGATACAATAATTACACCGTTCAATTCTGACAATGAAAATTTTTTTTATCTGTAATTGTATTTTTCAAAATTTAAAAGACAAAATATTAAAATTTCTATTATTATTGTAGATTAATAAAACCGGTATCGAAACGTTAAAAGATGTCGTACATATATTTTTTTCCTGTTCCAAAATGCCAAAAATTTATTAAAATAATTATTTATTGATTGGGACAAAATACTGATGAATAAAAAATAATTTCCATTATTAAAATGATAAACCACAATATTAGACGTAGAAGTAATTTTCAGATACTAAAATGACATACAACAATATTAGACGTAAAAATAATTTCCACTACTAAAATGACTAAAAATAAATAGTTAAAAATAAATTTTGATTTTAAAATCAAAAATGATTGAAAACAACTAAGAACAAGTGTATAAAAGAAAGTTGCATACAGCAATTCATCATGCACGCACGAGATATAGTTTTCGGATGACTGAACTCGTAACAAATCGAAGATAAAATGAAAAGGATTGTAAGGTGCGCACCCCCATTGAGAAAAATAATGTTATGTTTTTGAGGAACATGCTTACTAACAATGTATATAGTTCTCTAAAACGAACTACCCATGCTTTCTCAATGGGGGTATCATAGTAGATTATACATATATATATAAACACACATATACACAACCAAAATTGGTATACTCAAGGTAATTTTACGCAATGTTGTGTGTATAAATATATTTCGGAGAATGAAAAAAAAAAAAAGGAAATTATAAAAATTTATATATTTATAAAACCGACCTCGTCGGCAAACTCGAAGTCACCATCAAATTTCCTCTTGGTTTTTGTTGCAATTGTTATTGCAATTAATAAAGTGATGATTGTAAAAAGAAGCGAGGATAACCGCATTTTTTTTTTTTTTTTTTTTTTATGCTCTCTTGTATATTTTGCCTCACTTTAATATATTGTCACACACCGTCAGGAGGCACTGAACACACGATAGTATCGATTGTACGAAACGCGGCGCTCTACGCGCGACGCCTCGTACCTACAAATTCGTTTCTTCAATTAAATTTTTTTTTTGCTTTTCTTTTTTTTGGTGGAAAAAAAATTGGCACCAACAATTTTATTGTTTCTTTTTGGGGGGGAGGGGGGAAATCGAACAATATCAAATAAAAATTGTGTCCACTTTATTATAAAATTATTAAATGATGGTATTTAATTTAGAAGAAAGTTGTATAGAAATCGCGATGTGATGATGGCTTATTATATGCACGTTGCGTGCGCGTGTGCAACGATATCAACGTATACTGGCACTGTCTCGGCTCTTTTCAACTATAGCCTGTTTACATGGACGTGTCTCTCGTTGGATTTTCCTCTACTATGTTCTGTGAAAACATATATATATATATAGAGAGAGAGAGGAGTAACAACTGCGCTTGAGCACAAGTTAGGAGACCTGTGCAGAAAGATTGGTACGCGGTAAATATTCTTTACTGCCACTACTACTACTACTAGTACTATTGGTACTACTGTCGTGGTTGCGACGCCATTGGCCGGATGTTGGCAATGAAGAGAAAGAAGAAGGACATGTCCAGACAAGGCGTCGCCTTATGCAATTTTCCAATGGGAAAGTCTAAAACAAACAAAAATAATAGCTGGGGATTGGTTATAACAAACAGAATATTTAATAAATTATGAAAATTATCATGTGTTTTATAATCACAATTGCTATTCTTCTGCAATAAATTACAATAAAACGGAGAAATTTTTTTAAAAATTGATGTTTTTTATGAAATTTAGTATTTACGGTTTTTTGTTTTACTTCAAGAAACTGTAGATACCAAAATTCTAGTTAAAAATCTATGAATTTTTCAAAAGTCCCTCATATTGAGTCCGCTATTTTGAATTTTTAAAATCTGCCTTCAGATTTGTAATCAGCGACCCTAAAAACCCCTTCCAAGTTTTATAAAAAAAAAAGTATCAATTTTTAGCAAAATTGTCCAACATATTGGATCCGCCATTTTGAAAATCTGATTTCAGATTTGTAATCAACATCCCCAAGTTACCCTAGACACCAAGTTTTATGTATATCCATTAATGTTTAAAAAAAAATTCATTTACGACCAAAAATCCGCTGTTTTTTGAGGTTAGGAAAAAATCACGACGTGATAAAGTAAAAGAAACTTTAGATTCGTGTTTACCGGCCTAAAATACATAGAAATAGAATGAGTCTCAGAATGAAATAAATGATTATTCTTTTTAAATTATTTGGTTTAAATAAAACTTTCATTTCTGCTAAATTACATTTTTTAGTTGAAATAAATTAAAAATTATTAGCTCTGAGACAGATATATCTTTTATGTCATTCAAATAAATTTTATTTGTGTCAAATAAACTAAAATAAAAGATTTCTCTGGGTATATATATATATAGAAAGAGACGAGAAACTGTTTATGAATTTTTTATTTAGAACAAAAATGGTCCCTGAAAATAAAATGAGCATGCATTTTCAATTGTTGAAACGATGAACTTGATACATATATATATATATTCTAGACATTTTGTTGGAGAGTAAATATTCTCAAAATGTTGACTTTTAAATTTATATCTATATACTCGAAGTCAGAGACGAATATAATTTATTGGAATGATTTGAATTGAATTTCACTGTTTTCTTAATGAATCCGCAATGCGGTGAAAATTTGGGATTGAGACTTTTAAGGATTCGTTGATCCAATAAGAAACACTACAAGTTTCATGTATATCATTATAATGTATTTAAATATGTGACTCGAACGTTGGAGAAAAAAATTTAAATTTATCGCATTGACTTGAAACTTTGGTAAACCTATTATTGTCCCAGTTTCTTTAATATATAAATTATTTTATATTCAAAAAAAAAAATTTCAGCTTTTCAATAAAAATAAAACAAGAAAAACAAATTGTACATTTGGGTAAAAATATATGAAAATTTAAACTCATGTTAGATTGTGCACTTTTTTAATGAGCTAGTATTTTAGAAATTTAATTGCAAGGTAACAATTTACAAAAGTTTCAAATCAATTCAATAACTTTTAATTTTTTGGCATGAAACAGTTGAGAAGAAATTCCCTATATATGCGGATATGTGAGGGAAAATGTTAGTATCCAATCGTTAATTACAATTCGATGCATTGTTAAAAATTATTTTACATACATTAAATGATTATCTGATATAAAATTTCATATTATCCGATATTTATAATAATTATTATTATTCACATATTTTGTGCAATAAAATTAATATAATAATTAACTCACTTTCAGGATTATATCTGGATGAATATGAGTATTTATGCAATATAATTAAAAAAACATTTTTATAATGTAATATTTTTTTCAGTTTCATTTTGACGTCAGTCATCATAATTAAAAATTTTATTTGCTTTTAAATTAAAATTATTAAAATGTATTTTTATACATTTATTATTTGTTATTATTTATACTGGTTAAATGAGTCATCCACAGTATTAAAATTTTAATTCAATTTGGAATATTCAGTTTTTAAAGTCGAGAAACGTTGACCCATATAGTTGTATGGGAAAAATACTACTGAAATTGTCAGACTATTTTAGAGTTGTACTACTGCGAAGATTCTACATAGTCTGGCTGTACTACTGTCACTACTAATAACTAATGTTTCATCTTTTATTCAGAAAAATTTTATTTTGATAAATTATAATCAAAATGAAATGATTATGATAATAATTAATTAAATTAAATTATTTAAATAAATTTTTTATACAAAATTTCCGTATGTATAATTAATTTTATTTAATAATTATAATTATAAAATAATTATTGAATTTTTTCACTTTAATTTCAAATATTATTATTCAATAACATTATATTAATTAAAATTTTTCTAATTCATTAACTAATTATTGCACTGATCTCATATTCTGAGTTAGCTCTAATGAATTTAAATTTAAATATAAACTTTCTTTTAGATTAGTTGAATTTCATTTGCTTAGAAATTTTTAGATAAACTTCAAATAAGTTCGTATTATTTCTTTAGATAAATTTAAACTGAATATTTCAAAGGACTGAAAATTTGATAAGACTAATTGTATTAATCGGTATCTTTAGATAATCTACAAATCGAAAATTTCTGTCGTTAATTTGATTTATTTTAATATTTACTAAGAATATGATATTTTTGAATTAAACCTATTTTTAATTGATTTAATCATTATAATTAATTTTATTTAAGTTCATTGCTCTTAAAAGTTTTCTATAAAAGAAAATATATGAATTATATTGCTAATAAAATAACTGTAATTAATTTAATATTTGAAATATAACAATTTACATAAATTTTGTAATTAAACACAAGTACTGACTTTGATGTGATTTTTTGTTTCAGGCATTACCTTTATCTGCACGAAAATGTCTGCAACAAGATCAGCTGTCGGTAAGTCATTTTTAATAACATAGCGACACAATAAAATGTTTTATTTAATTTTCTTTGTATTTCAGGCACAAAGTGTTTGGTATTTCATACTTGTTGTTATCTACTGCTCTGTTGAATATCATCAGAGAGTTAGGGAGAGTAAATTTATTAATCTGCAAAACCATTGTAAAAGATCCCTTAATAATTTTATCAATAGTTTTTCATGGGTAATACAATTTTTTCCAAACTTGGTAGTTTAGTAGAATATAATGAAACAAAACACCTTATAACATTTTTTATTAATACCATCTGAAATTATTAAAAATTGAATTTGCCATTATCGTTTTAAAGAAAATTTAATTATTAATATTATAATAAACAAAATTTGGTAATACTTGAAATTATAGTTTAATTATGCATATTTCTCGCAAAATCAAAGGTATTTTAAAAAAAACTAGGTAATATATTTTAGAATTATTTCTCCAAAATACTATTTTTGCATATCTTCTGATTTTGTATGTCATTCCTCCGATCGGTTGGATATTATCCAATATTTTTTATCGGTGAAATTGTTTAATAATAATCTTGTTGAGTAATTTTATTAACACCTCTATTATTAATTTCAAAAGTCTATTATAAGAAGATATTATTACTTGAAGAAAAGATAGAAATTGAACTATAATCTCATATTAATTCAAGATCTGAGGCGTCATTCCTCCACCTCAAATTAAAAACACAAGATCAATAGATATAAACTTTTTGCAATATTTTAAGAATAAAATCATCAATTATGAATATGATAAAGAATTTTAAATTTTAAATTAATTGTTTTATATTAAATAAAATTACGAAATTATTGAAATCGTCATTCATCCCAGTTTCTCAAATAGAAAATCAATTAAGGTTACACATTGATAAAATTATCAATTATTTATAAACTTTCAATGAAAAATCAATTCAAAAATCTTAAAACGTGATTATTAATTACTTAATAAAAACTTTCAAACCGAAAAGTAATTTTTAAATGTTAATAAAAAAAAATATTTATAAATAAATATAAATAAATATATAAAACTTTTGATTGTGTCATTAAAAATATTTTATTAAAACGATATGCACAAATGCGTCTGTTGTAGGTGACTAAAAAAACAAAAATAAAATATAAATTGAAGTCATAGCTATCGTTGGAACAAAAATTTATCATTATACAGCTATAAAAAATTTATAAAATGGTGCCACTTTAGAGTGTAATTTCTGTTTTTCATTCTTTTTTTTGTAAACAAATGGCTGTGAAACAAACAAAAACAACTTTTATTCTCTTATTCTGCTTGGGGCGATAGATACATATGATACTGAATCAGATTTTTGTGTAATGGAGTTTTTTTTTAACAAAATCTGTATTCAATATGAATTTATCTTTAACAGAATTTCCATTTAACTATATAAATTAAAACTTCTATAAAATCAAAATAAATTTTATTATTTACTATCTATACATTTTTATAAAATGAAATTAATTTTCCAACTTTCATTTAAAAATTTTCTAGTTAACTGAATTTCATTTTGGGAAAACAGAATTTTTTTATTTTGAAATAATATTTTTTAGAAAGAATTATTTTTGTGTGAATGTTTATAACATAACGTTAAGTATTTTGCATGTTATTATAGTGTCGCTATGTTTTTTATTTAGTGTGAATGTTTTCAGAATTAATTATTTTTCATACAATTATGATTTTATAATATTTATTATAATTGTTCTTATTGATATTTTTATTATTGTCTTTTTCATTTTTAACTGTTTTAGTATTTTCTTTTTAAGAAAACTAAATAAATTAGTTGAAAGAAAAATGCTTAAAATATATGTAATTGTCAGTGATCGATAAATCGGGATTTTCCTAGAATTTCGAGACGCATGAATAAGCTCAAAAATTAATTTTTTTTAATTCATTTAAATTTGAATTTCTAGAACAAAAAAAATTGTTACATAAACGAATTTTTATTTAACTAATCGAATTTGAATTTATCAAAAATATAATTTTCTCGAATTTTCATTGCGTAATTAAAAATTTTTTTAATTATTAAATCGTTTAAGTCAAACTTAAAAGTATAGTTCACGATGTGAAATTAAATTTATAAAAATTTTTTTTAATTTACTTGATTTTAAGAGTAATAGCAGCATTTAATGAGGATGCTAAAAAATACAAGATCCAGGTTGTCTGCTTCATTTTAGAATGTCCCAAATTCAGTTTTGAACTCGTTTTTCTTCAATTAAGAATTTCAATTTGTGGAAGGAATTTAAATTTAAATTGAAAAAGATATTAAGCTAAAGTAATAAAATCTAAAATCGATAAAAGACGCTTCTGAGATATTGCATTCATTTAAATATACACTAAAGTAGTTCTTCTATTGATTCTCGTGCAATGCCTCAATTATTCTCAATCGGATTATTTGTTACTTAAACGTTGCACACGTATATATATATATATATATATATATATTCCATAGTTTACGTAACAAATCAAATTCTAGATAGTATTAATTGTGATAATTTTTTTTTAACCTTTTAAACTTATTTTTAATTAAAAATTTTTTTAAACAATCAATGGAATGTTCCATCAAAATTTAAAGAAAATCGATTTTTTTGAAAAAATTCTAGCCATCGAATATCTTAAAATTGATTTACTGATTATCAGAAATTTGAAAAAATATTTAATGAGATAATTTAAAACTATTAAAAGATTTAATATATAATAAAAAAAAGTTAAAAATCAGGGAAAAGAAATTAAAATTTTTGAAATGAAAAACCACATTTGTACTGTTGTAACTGGCCAATAAGTATTTGCCACTTTTTCTTATATTATCATTCTATTTTTCATATGTACAAATAATATACAATAATTGCCTTTAATATATACGTATTATTAAAATCTAATCTCAATGATGTTATAGAAGTTACATGAATAGAAACTTGACCGCAACTAATTCATATAGTACGCCATAGGTCTGCCACAGAGAAAAATATTTTTGCTTTGAAAACAAAATATTTTATTCATATTTGTGAATAAAAAAAATTCTTTTTTGTTCTCTCAACTGTATTTTTGTTGACTCAACTAATATTTAAAAACAAATTTTTAATTTTAATTGAGGTAATAAATTTTTTTTTTTTTTCTTGAATTAAGTAACATTTTGTTGAGATAATCGAAAAAAAATTTTTGTTTACACAAATAAATATTTAGTTGACTAAAATATTGTATTATTGTCAAAACAAAATATTTTACTCAGTGTGCGCTTTAAAAGTATAAATACAAGTTTTTTTTTTTTTTTTTTTTAATATATATATAAAATTTGTATAATCTACATGAATCACTTGAAGTATATCTCTTCCTTTAATCACAAACGATTATAAATGTAATAACTACCACTCGAGCAAGGGGTCGTGGCCTGTGCCACTCTGGCAGTACATTATTTAAATAGGCACGTTTCATTCAATTTCATTTCTCATCGATCATCAATTTCATTCGACAATAAAAATTGTTCATTACTTTCTTTTACTCGAGAAGTCTCATTTTCACGCACAGACATATTTTTGAGAAATTTCTCTTTTCTTTTTAAATATATTATATTGAAACTTTCTGATTTTTAATTGTGAAAAGAAAATCAGAAAGCATTCCTTAACAAAAAAAACAACCTTAAAAGATATTTATACTCAAATGATATTTTTCAATTATATGATTGTCTATTTTTTTTTTTATTAAAAAATTAGTATAAATATCTCTCTGTTAAATTTATTTATAATAATGGCAGTTTTATTAAAATTATATTACAATATATGTAACGAATATTATATTCGTTTGTCTGCGCGTAAAAATGATTGACTTTGATTAAAGTGAGATTTATCTTCAGAGATGCATTAAGTAGTTTATTTTCGCTTATTTTGATTTAATTTTTAAGATACGAGTCAACTGATAAATTGACATCATATAATAGACCTTTTATCGGCAATTGTATATTAATAATAATTAATCAACAGCCGGGACATTTTGTTGTTGTTGTTGTTGTTGTTGTTTCTCTTCAATTTATAATGACATTTTTAAAAGATTGTTAACGATGTGAATCAAAAACTTATTCCAAATATTCACTAATAAAAATCGAAGAATTTTCGATGTCTTTGCAACATTCTTATAGAAATCGTTGCGCGCTAATAAAATGATTCATTTCTCAAGAATACGAGATGCCCCCTTGTTTTAAGTTTCTTTTTCTTTTGGCCCCCTTGTAAACAGGGTTAAAACCTACACTTCAATTATTTATTATACAAAATGTAGGTTTTACTGTACAGTTTTAAATGAAACCTGGATTTTTGCGCTATATGGACATATTTACCTTATTATTATTATTATTATTATTATTGTTATAATTATTTATTTTTACAATTACAATATCAAGACCTTTTTTGTCTGTCGTCATTGCTTCCTTAGGTCCTCTAATTTTTTTTCGAGTTTCCTCCCATCAATATAGTGCCTCTATGAATAATACTATTCTAACTATGTCGTTTATCGTAAAATTTTTTTTTTCTCTTTTTTTTATCGTAGGAGAAATATCTTTGCGCGATTATATTTTATATATATATATATATATATCATCCGATTTCGGCGTAATTCGAATTTTCTTCGAATATAATAAACTCTCCCGAGATATAATTCTCCATTAATATTATTGTTATTATTTTTGTTTGTCTCTCAAAAAGAAACAAACAATATTCACTATTTTTTATATAAATATGCATTGCATTATAATACCCTTATCGCGAGTTCAAAAAAAAAAAAAAAACTTATTTACAGACAGCCACTGTACAGACGTGTTTGAATTTTTTTTTTTTTTTTGCGATGTAGGTCTTAAATAGGCCTTTTATTGTAAGTAGAATTAGAAATAAAGACCAATTGAAAAAAATTTTCATATCCTGAATATTAAATCGAGAAAGAAAATATTATTTCAAGGAAATCAATACTGATAATAAATTGATGACGAAACGGACGTTAAGGTAGTTCGTTTGTGATTATTTTTTATATTATTTAAAAAATCATGTTAGAAATTTAGAAATTTTTTTTATCAACGGCTCTGCCTGATAAGAAAAAACTTTTCTTTTTTTTTTTATCTCACAAAAATAAAATCAACTTTTTTTTTACTCACTTACGAACTACCTTGAAGATAATTTGAATTTAAATGAACATTGTTAATTATTTAAACTTATTTTTTTAATCCAAAAATTTATAATTTTTTGATGAAAAATAATAATTTATGACATTTTTAACGTTCCAAGTGGGGTCTTTATATCTCAGCAAATAACATTATTGCGTTCTTGTTACGCTACATTTAGAGGTCATTGTTCTATTTCTAATATGCCCTAGTTTCGTCAATAAGATTATTATAATTAGAGCTAAAGTTGTTTGTACCATTGTTTAGGTGAGAGCACCTTTAGTAATCGTCGTGACATTTCTTTAATCATCAATAATAATTTTATGTATAGCTGACAAAAAAAAAAAAAACAAATTTGCAGCATTAATGACTTGACGATCACATTATTTCCACTTGCAAGAAACTTTTACAGATGGTAAGGTTCTTTTTTTTTTGCTTTTTTTTCTTAACCCTCTCGATGGAAGTTATTGACGATTTTCAACTTCCAACAAAGTGTAATTTGTACAATTAAAAATTAAATGCGTTTACAATTAGTATACGCAATGTCAATATTGATTTGAAAAAGAAATCAAAACAAATTCGATTGTTTACAGTCTTTGTATAAAATAGATTTCCCTTAATCTTTGGCAAAAAAGAAATTGAAAAGAATATTTTCTCATGATAATAAATTCAATTCAAATATATTGACGATTTTAATATAAATACATGATACGTGAGCAAATAAATAATAATAATAATAATAATAATAATAAAGAAATTAAACCGTCTTAAAAAGTTTCTCGCTCTTGGCTTTTTTACGATGTGAAAATGAAAACGTCCTCAAGACGTTTTTTTATAACCATCTTTTTTTTCTTAAATTTTCTTCAAATAGTAATAATTTGATTAGGTTTTCTCAGCGGCAATTGCGCGCCATTGACAATATTCTTACTCAAAGAGTGCTAATATGTCGTCACTCGACGATGGATTTCCACTACTGGCTCCACTACTTGGTGGTGTATTTAAATCCGGTGGATCTAGATATGAGAGTAATTCCATTGGATCCACCACGTCATCTGGTAGTAACTGTAAATTATAATAAGTTTACAGTTAATTTCACATTTGAAAAAAAAAAATTAAAATCAATGACACTAGAATATTTTTTAAACTCTCTTAGTAATTCCAATTTCTATTGAATAAGAAAGTATAATATTGAATTTTGGGACGCATAAATATTCCCCAGATTAAACTTGTCGAAATTAGGGATGTAAAATTTCATGAAATATTTTAAAGTTAGCGAGAAAATTTAAATTACATGTAATATAAAGTTATTTTTAAGTTTTGTTATGGCTAATGTATTATTATTATTATTATTGACCTAAATAAATAATAAAAATAAAATTTTTAAATGCAATTAGGAAGTTAATAGTTTTTCTTTCAATTAATTTATAAATGCTATCCATTTCAATTAATTAATTTTAAATATTAAAAAATTAAAATTTTCTTTAAAAATTATATTATGTATAAGAAATATTGAATTTTCAAAATCTATATAAAAATTAAACATTATAAATAACTTTATAAACTTTATAAAAAGGGAATAATAATATACATTTTTTGTAATTAACTTTATTACATTTCGCATTTCTGAATATCTTATTTTATTACAAGTTTTCCTCTTTCTTTAATAAAATATCGTATTTATGAAATTTTTAATATCAATCATTAAAAATATTTATCACATTTTTAACATAAAAATTGAACTACTTAAACTCTTAGTAACATTGAAATTAATACTTATATCTAATTTGGTTTAAAAACTTGTAACAATTTTTACAAGTAAATCTTTTTATCAGTTTTAGTAATATTTTTGAAAAACAAACAAAAGTGATTTGTTTACTAATTCAAAATAGAATAAAGTAACCTAACCTTGTATAGATTGGAGCATGCGCGTTAAAATTTGAAAATATTTCATTGAAATTTATATATCACTGCAATGAAAAATTGAAATATTTCAATCTTGCATGAAATTTTTCTTCGCTTACATCCCTAGACTCGAAATTTTTGTGGTATCTAGTAAAATTTTGCTATTTCACTGAAATTCTATGTCTGCATTGTAGATTTTTAAAAATTTAATAATCCTATTGGAGAATTGTTATTCAGACAAATATTCATTTGGCATTACTTTGCACGTAGGGGAAATTTATCCTTTGAGTTACCAATCTATGGTAATGTAGATAATAGAATTTGGCGCCAAATTTAAATTGCTATATATCGATTTAAATTTGGCGCACAATTTTATTAACCTCCAGAACGATAGATTGAAAAAAAAAATAAATTTGCAACATATCAAAGAAAATAATGGATTATAATATAAGTGAATATTCATGTATTCCAGTTAATTTTTTACTTATGGGAAATTAAAAATTTCTTTCAATTAAGTATATATTATAAAAAGAATGAAAACTTACATTAAGAGACTCTTGTCCAGTTCCTTCGCCGTCAATAACTGCAGCTGGATCGAAATTTAGATCCGATGGTAACTCGGCTGAGTCATTATTAATATTTGTACTGGTATTGCCAGACGTATTGTGATTACTGTTGGACTCTTGGGACGATGGTGGAACGCTAGGAGGGCCACTATTTCCTCCACCTGGCGTGTGTGGAGTATGAGGTGTGTGCGGCGTATGAGGTGTATGTGGCATCTGTAATTTAATCGTTACAATTAGAATATTTGTCTATTAAATTCTTCCATCAATAACAGATATTGTTCAGCTTATTTCTTTGATGAGAAAAAATTTTCTTCAATAAATTCTAATTTTGTTTCGAGAAAAAAATTTTTTTTTTTTGTTTAAAAATAATCATCTTACCTGATCGTTTAGAGATTTTTCCATGGCATTTAGAGGATCGAGAGAATTAACGGAATCATTTAAATGTGTCAATGGACCAGTGCCATTTGTATAATCAGAATTTCCCGAAGTATTCGTTCCAGAATTAATATCGTATGAGCCACCAGAAGAATTTCGATGATTAATATTATTGTTCCCGTAGTTTGATGGTTGATTTATCATCGAACCACTGACGATACTATTCATATCGGGAGGTATATATGGACTCATTGCTTGATTCATATCCCAATTATTCATTGTTGGCATATTCATACTACCCGGTGACATTGCTTTAATCATTCTTTTGCAATCGTTTTCCTCCTCAGATTTTATACTATTCAAAACTTTAGCTGGCTTCCAATTAGCAGCTGAGTCTATTGTCACTTCTTCGATCTCCGGTGTACTTGACGTCGTATTTAAAATTCCCCACATGTATTGATCTACTTCTAAGCCTTCAAGTTGAGCTGGTTTCCTATATATTAATAAAAGAAATTCACGATTATATTATAAACTCAATATCATTATTTATTATTTGGTTTTTTTTTTTTTTTTTGAAAATTATTTTTATTACTATAAAATTGTCAATAATTTAGTGATTAATAATTTAAATTTCATTATTAAATTGAAAATAGTTATGAACAATTTTTTTGAATTTAGGAAAAATAAATTTGATTTATTATTCGTGCTTTTGTATTGAAAAGAATTATTTTACTTTTTTTTAAACTTACATGCAGACTGAGCATCTCCACGAACCCCTTTCACAATTTAATTGAAGATAAGACTCGAGGTCGAAGCACTGAACGTGTTTACATTCATGACCTCTAGCTGGCAACGTAATTCGCTTGAAAGTAATCGGGCATTTAAGCGACACCTGAAAAAAATGCTAAATGTTAATTTTTCTATTCAAGAAGCTAAAATCATTTTTTGGAATATAAATTATCATTACTAAAAATATCGATTTGAATCTTCCCACTTTTAGTGATAAGAGCGAAACTTCTTTTACCGACACATAAAATTTAGTTTTAGAAAATTTTTTAAAAATTAACGCAGAATATTTTTGAGGGTTTTTTTTGCGATCGCTGATTACAAATATGACATTAAAATTCATCTTGTTTCTTCGATAATAGAATAAAATAGTACTGATTTCTCTACCTTTAATGCTGTCTGTTCCACAACATCAGATTCCGATTTAATTCCATTGTTCGATATCGTGCTGTTGAAATTCCTTTTGATTTTAGTTATACAATGCTCGGCCGTAAGCAGTCTTTTGCGTAGTAATCCTTGTAATACACTTCGTACACTAGGTCGATGCACCAATTGAAGGACAAATAGATGCGACTGAAATTATAAATTCCAGATTAGAAAAAAAAATTGCTAATTTTTTCGATTATATAATAATTATTTTAATGATTAAAATTGTGTTTTATACTAGATTTAAAAGAAATACTTACACAGCAACACGCTGAAACGGTGATTTGAACAGTATTACGTCCACCCTGACAAACATCTTTGAGGTAAAGTGGCTTATGGGATAATTTATTTTCTCCTCGATCAATCATAAGTGGTGTTGCATTAACTGATACTTGCACACTACCAGGCCAATTGGTGCTCATTTGTCGATCCTCATGATGAAAGCACTTGAGTTGCAATTCAAGATCCGATCGCCACATTAGTGTCTCGTGAACAGTTGACTTTAGATGGAATACATGATTGCTCACTGCCAAATTGTGTTCTAATCTAAAGGGTTGTAGGATAATACCGTCTCTCACGGGGAATGTTAATCTTAATTCATCTTTTTGCATATTGACTGAAGGCTTATTGAGTTCATTAAAGTTAGGCTTAATATCAGAATTTGGACTAATGTAAGGTGATATACTAGCGGCAGGAGTTAGGGGTGGTGTTGGATTTCCAGGAATTGGACTATGTTGATAGTTCATATTTCCCGCTGGCGTTGTTCTCATTGGTGATACAACATCCTGTTGATATTGATTGTTGGCCGCGACATATGACGAGGCAGCAGCACCATAACCACTATTTGTTTGATGTCCACCGGGATGTCCAACAAATTGATTACCAACTGTTGTTGGTCCCATAGTTGCAGGTACATTTGCATTATAGTATTGATTTCCTTGAGCCGGTGAGCTATACGATGGTGTTGTTTGCCTAATTCCCGATGTTCTAATCATTGGATTCGTGGGAAATCCAGTCGTTTGCGAATTCATTGCCGGTACTGGTTGATATTGCTGTTGAAAATTGGGTCTCGTGGCTGGATAATTTTGATGGGTTATTTGGTTGGGATATTGGGGTACTTGGCTCGTGGGCATACTATTGAAACCGGGTTGCATTGCTGCTGGATTTGCTCCCGCGTATGGTCCCTGTTGCCTTTTTTGCGCCATGTGCATTGCAGGATTTGGATAAGGAGTCAACCTCCTTGGGTAACTTTGCTGTTGTTGTTGCTGCTGCTGTAGTTGTTGTTGTTGCAGTTGTTGTTGTTGCTGCAATTGTTGTTGTTGCTGAAAATCATTATAATTATTATTTTGAACTGAAAGTTAATAAATTTTTTTTTTTTGGATAGAAACTTACCTGCATGGTCATTTTATTCATTTGCATGGTGTTGGGTCCCATGACGTTGTTCATTCCAACGTTTCCCATGTTGCTCATAGAGTTCATGGAGTTCATCGAATTCATGGAATTCATTTGGGACATTCCATTCATACCATTCATATTCATTGCTCCCATGGACATTGGATTCATGGAGTTCATGCTACTCATGCTATTTAACGAATTCATAGAATTCATAGAGTGCATTGGAGCCATTGAACCCATGTTGTTAAAATTATTCATTCCAATAGATCCCATTGCTGTCATTGGTCCTCTTTGGCCATAACCTGAGCTATACGATTGATGGGGCATTCCATGTTGACTCTGCATTTGCGATAAACGCATTAGATTAGGTGATTCGTTATAGAATTTCTGCAATGAAAACATAAACATTTTATTCAGTGTTGGATTTTTTTTGGGGTTTTAGGATTCCTTTTTCGTAACAAATTTTGAAACTTGATTTACTTCAATTTAATGGAAAGTTAAAATTAGAATTTGTTTTCAAATTGAAGATGTAATATTTTTGGGGCATTGATGGAATTTTTTTTTTAATTTACCTGATTGAATTGGGTGGGGATATCTTGGCGGTCCTGCATGGCCACCACGCTAGCAGTGGCGGTGGCCGTAGCGGTGGCAGCTGCCACCATTGCCGCGGCACTGAACGTCGAACCACCACCCCCACTTTGGGGTGGTGTTGTGATATGATAGCCGGATGATAACTCGGGTACTTTCCTTTCAGCCAATAATCGCGGCCGTCAAGTGTCTTGGTTTTCCCTTGGAAATTAATGAAAGATCTTGTCGATCACCAATATTCTGAAAAGGACAATTTTTTTCTATTATTTCAATTTTTAAAAAAATTCTTTTAAAGGGCTAAGATAATTATGTCAAAAGTCCCGCTTCTTGTAGCTTGGAAACATTGCTCCTTATAGATTAATATATCCAAGAAGCGGAAAATTTTTAAAATATATATATTTTCTTTTAAAACGGGATTTTCCTTAAAACTTTCCATTGGCAAATTAAAATTATTTTTATCAAATATGAAAATAATTTTAAACATAGAGAAATATTTAGATCTTCTTTTATTAAACACAATAGATAATATAATGTCTTTAGAGCGTGCGACAAAAGACAAACTAAACACCGACCTATGAAAATCTTATCTACTTTAATCTATGAAAACATATTTCCTCTGAATAAGAAACCTGCGACTTTTTGTTAGTATTTTAAACATACTATACAAAAGAATAAATTATGTGTATTTAAAACTTAATTTTGTTTTTATATTTTAGTGAAAATATTTTCAAAAATTGTAAGTTTTAAAAATTATTCAAAAATCTGATGAAGGATAAATAAATATGTATATATATATATATTTTTCTTGGTGCTTTTTAAGAAAAAATATTGTGGTGAAAAATAGTGATGTTTTTAGAAAAATCTTCCCCCTCATCTATATAATATCTATAAGGGTTTTGGTTAGAATTTGGAAGATTTCCTCAGAAATCCTTTATACCTGCCGCTTAACAAAAATTCTTAGAATCTATCGTATACAAAAATCCAGTGATGGAAAATTTGGTGTTCTTCTGGACCTTACAAAAATTTTCTTGTATATAGATAAAAATCTTGTTTTGGTATATTATCTTTGAAATTTTTAATTTCATCAAAGAATGTGCGACAAAGAATAAAATTTTACTTACAAATTTTATATTTTGTTAATGTTTACGCTAAAATTGAATATATTTTCTTTTAATAATAAATAGTAAAATTTTTACTCGAATTAGTGACAGGGAAATTAACGTTAATCTCAATTTTAATTAATATTTAGAGAAAATTGAAGGAATTATTTTCGGATGAGAATTTTTTTGATAAATTGTTTAAGAATATATACGTATATATGTATATATTTGTATACAATGATGGCCCATACTGTGTCGTTTACGCCACTGGCTCGATCCCGAGACTTTACCCCGACCCGTCGTTTCTTCCCAGCTGGCCATGCTCGTCGAAGTCCCTATTGCTTTTCTGTGGGAAATGCACGTGCTCGCTATTCACACACCGTGCACATAATACACACATCCCTACTGCGTTCTACACATCGCGCCGCTCGAGTCGAAACACCGCAAACGGTCTTTAATGCATCAGACACAATAAAGCAAACGAAAAACTCTGATATGTATACCAACAAATGTTCAGAAAATTTATTTTTATAAAATTTAATTCATTAGTTGAGAAAAAAGTTTTCTTTCAACAAAATTTACCATTTTTTTTTTTTTGTAGTAAATACAATTTTTTTGTTAACCAAAAAAAATTTCTTTGATTCAAACAAAATTTTTTTGATTCAAATAGTTTTTATTTTGTTTATTAATAGTTTAATTTATTTTAATAAATTTTTCGAACGAAGAAAGAATTTTCAGCGAAATAAATTGTTTATTGATTCAACCAAATATTTGGTTAATTGTGGAGCAATAAATTTATTTGTTTGAAACAAATTTTTTTCTGAATGTACAGTATCGTCTTTAGATGAAATTGCACCTAGGGCGAATATAGTTTTTTTTTTCAAATTTAAAGATTTCTTTTAAAAACTGTTTAAACATTTTTTTGAACTTAATTATATTAAATATTACGAATAACAATTTTATTAATTGTTCATTTAGTAAGTGTAGAATAAAAAATGTACCTAATTTTTCAAAAATATGTCAATTAGATTTTAATTTTTTTTTCAAATGTTAACTGTTTGTATTGAGTTTTTGAAGCACTTTTAAAGTTTTCTAACGTACACGAGGAAGCTAAAAAAAAAGAGAGTGAGTATAAAAATAAATTGTGAACAAAAGACCCTCGAAAATAATTCAATATCATGGTACAGCGTGTTCAGGGGTTGACGTCACTTGCGCGTTTTTACCCCCTTACTTTTCATTCATGCTGAATGCAATCCACCTATACCTAACCTCTTATTTCTCTTTTCCCCCTCGAACAATATCCCCCCACCCCACCCTCTTCTCTTCTCTTTTTTTTTTTTTTTTTTTGGCTTTGGTTCTCCTTCCATTGGGTCAGACTCCATCCATCCACACACATATATATATACACACACATACTACGGGTTTCTATTCTTGGATGTCAATATTTCGTCAACTAGAACCCACTCTTGCACGCAACAAAGGCCTTGTAACTTGCGCCGTCGCGCAAGAGAAGCTGTAAATTATTGACGACTTAAATCCTGACAATGGCGATCACTACGATGCCGACTTGTATACACATCTATATATGTATATATATTTCTAATACCAATAATTTCCAGTGGATGAAAGTTCTATTGTTATCAAAAAAAATTTATGCTTTTTTGCTCGTGCTTGCGCCCCCTTTAATGATCCTACTACTGTTTACCAATAAATTTTCATTGATTTTCAAATGAGAACACATACAGGTCAAATTGAGAATCATTATATTTCACTTGGATTCGCATTTATTATAAATATATATATTTACCTCTTAGAACTAAATATTTATTTATTTCAAATATAAATTTTATCTTGTTGAAATATATTAACTTCATTTTGTTCAAATATAAGTTTTATTTCGATCAAATAAATAACTATTTGTGACGCGTTCTGAAGAAAGGGACCTTAGAAGCAAATGAATTATAGGTTATGTTTACGACAGTTTTACTTGAACTAAAAGTTTATTTTTGTAAAACTGAAATCAGTTTTTATTGAATATTTTGGATGTAATGAAGACATTATTAGTTTGCATTACGAGTTGAACTTTTTTGTGTATTTTCACTTTAAAATTTCAAAACCTAATCCATAATTTTTTACTTCTAAGGTTCCTTTCTTCAGATCGCGTCACAATATATAAAATAATTATTTATTTAGAGGTTAGATTGTAACAATTTAATTGGAGTAAGAAAAAAATTTCTGTGGGATTAGAAATGGAATTTTAGTCGAGTAAAGAAAATTATCTACAAAATTTTTATCACGTATTTATAATTATATATCATTCTATATTGCTTATCGAAAGAATTCAATAAATTTCTATATTAGAATTCTTTTGTTTACATGACTTTAAAACTTTTTTGTTTTTGTTAGTTTTTCAATATAAATTTATTGACTAAAATTCAAAAGTTTCGATATAACTAATCAAAATATTATGTCACTTAGTTTGCGTCTGAAGAGATTAAGTGTGAGAATATTCTAAATCACTTTATAGCTTAAAAATTATCTTTTTCACTGCTATTAACAATTTTAGTATTAAAAAGATTTAAAGACGAATCTGAAGTACGCAACGTTTATGATAAACGATTTTAAAAGAAATAATTTTTTAAATTGAAAAATTCTATAATTTTTTGGTTAAAATTTTTTTTTATAATTTGTTGTTTAATGAAAACAATGGTAGAGAAAAAAAAGCTACTTTTTTTTGCTATGTTCATGCAAAATTAAACGTTTTTGAAAATTTAAATATCTCTGTATAATATGATGTATAATTGTGATTTAAATAGTGTAATTTCTAATGATAATTATTTTTGTATGTCACAAAATTAAAATACAAACATTAGTACAAATTTAAATGAAAATAAAATAAATTTAATGATGTGATAATATGGCATCACTTTGTGTGTCCCTTTAAAAATGAGGCTTATTTGAATTTTAAACGCAGAGACAGTGTAACCGACCGCGAAGTGTACAAAATAGTCAGGTTAACACGCACATGCTTTTCATGCTTTTAAATTACTATCTATATTATATATATATATATACTGGTAAAGATGATATCTCTCCTAAATGACTAACAATGTTTTACGCGCAATTATCTTTTATTATATTTAAAATAAAAATTTTCACTTATTAAATTCATGTAAATCGTAATATAAACATAAAAAAAAATACACAAATTGAGTATCGAATATATATATATATATAGGAATGTAAAAGATAAAAATATAGTTAATTTTCTCGCACCGCACTTCCTATTTCTGTATGGGTAACTTTTTCCTATATACTATAAATAACACTTTCAAAACATAAAAATAATTCAAATTTTTCATTTTTTTTTTTTCAAAAAGATGAAATTTACTATTTAGGATACTAAACATATGTGATGCAGGAGGTTGTCGCTTTAAACGGAAGTAACATCTGTCTAACCCACGAAAATTATTTAAAAAAAGGATAGGGACGCGGATCAGATGTATTTTAAACGTCGATATATTTAACGTCAACTTCCGTTCGTTATCTATTAATGATTTTACGTTAAAACGATAGTACACCCAGAAAAATTTTTTTTTGAACCAATATTTGAATTAACAAAATATATTAGTTTTTTTTTTTTGGAATTTAAATATTTAAAAATATCTACGTAATAATTTTATTCTCGGTTACTATATGCATATATAATAATCTACTGAAACAAATTTAAGTATACGCGCTCGAAATCAGTGCTGTAATTGGTCTGCGGCCAAGGTCCGTCAATAGCCAAAGACTAAATTTAAGTCAGCATATCTATTTCCAAACCAGCGATTCGCAGTGAGTTTTTACCGAAATTGGAATTTTCAAGAATTCTTTTTTTCATTTGTTTTCCTTAAAATAAAATCGATACTTTTCCTTGGAGAGTAATTTAGATTTTCAAATGTTTTTCATGGCATATGTAAATAATTTAATTTTTAACATTTTGAATAATTAAAATTTGTATTATATATATAAAAATTACAATGTTTTGATAATAGAAAACAATTTTGGTGACATAACCTAAAATTAAACAATTGTTTTTATATTGTAATAAATTTTTAATTATTATTATATTTTCATACCATTTTTTTTCTCACAGTT